CAGGTGCTGGTGGTGAGCAAGCATGCCTTGTTTGTTTTGACGAATTCTCAGGTTGCATTGGAGCTTACTCCATGACATCAAGAGATACTGACTCGAACATCCTGTGCCTTCAGAAGTTCGCTGGAACCAGAGCTTCCCCTAGGTCTTCTTGCCTTGTGAAAACCGACTGTGCTCAAGAATTGACCAAAGCCGTTGAGCACTTGGGCTGGTTGAGTGAACCAGGGATTGAGAACGACCCGTATCACAATGCAAAGTTGGAAAGCTTGATCCGAAGGATCAAAGAAGGCACACGTGCGATCCATCTTAAGTCAGGTTTGCCGCACGCCTTTTGGCCGAGGAGCATCGAGTATTTTGTCGTAGCACATGCAATCACACATCCATGTCCTGTGCATCCGAATGAGACTCCTGAGTCCAAAGCGTTGAAGGAAGGGAAGACCTGTTATGAAGTTGCTTCAGGTAATGTTTTTGATGGGTACCGGATCCCTTTTGGTGCATTAGTTTGGTACAAACCCCCCAAGCATAGAGAACTTCCTGCCTTTGACCCAAGGACTTTTCCTGGAATCTTCTGTGGATGGCGAATCGATAACGGGTATAAGTTCAGAGGTGTGCATTTGGTTTTGGATTATGAAGCTGTTCGCACCAACAAGAAAGGTTGTGAGAAACCAATCCAAGTGTATACTAGTGAGCTTGTGAAACCAGAAGTGTTCATCTTTCCTTTGGAAGAGGCTGCAAACTCGCAGCTGGCATTGTTTAAAGCAGATCGGGAGTTGCTGAGCATTGATCCCAGAGAGTCGTTGCCCTTTGGAGAAGATCCTCCCGAGCCAGCCAAACGTAAACGCAGACCTTATGTAACATTGGAGAGATGCATCAGGTTCGGAAAGACTGTAGGATGCAAAGGTTGCGACAGAATTGCAGAAGGCGTGAGGCACAGTGATGAATGCCACGCAAGGATTGGCAAGCTCTTGGAGGACGAGAGACTAGCCAAAGAGTCAGATTCGAAGAAAGACAAAGAGAAATCGGAAGCCGCTGTGGACATTTCGATGCACACCTTGAAGGACAAATGTAGCCGCCAAAAAGTCAGAGAAAATCCCATTGTCCTGCCTGAAGACCACGAGAGCAAGCAACTGGCTTCTCACGTGGATTGCTGTAATGCGGAGGCATTGAATGACTATTGGGACTTTGATGAGGCCAAAGCTGCATGGAAGAGAGTCCATGTCCGTCCTAGGAAGCGTTTGTTCACACCGCTAGGAAATGACTGCCCATTCGATCCGTTCGAAGTGACAACAGAACGTCAGACCGTTTGGACATGTAGGAAAAAGACTTCATTGTTTGCAGATGATTGGCAATCCATGTCACCGAATAGGCGCATTTGTTCAAGAAGTTGGGTAGGGTGCACATACTTCTTTCCAAAAGAGAAGCCCGAGAATGTAAGAGCAAGAATCAGAACCATGACATGCAATGTCGAGAAAGAACCTTTGAGAGGGCTCGATGCTGTCACGTCGATCCTTGGTTTGACTCCGGTCCCTGCAGAAGTCAAGAACGTTCAGACATTGAAACCGCCCCGTGAAAGGAGGATCAGGTCAGGCAAAAGCCATGCAGTGTTTGAATTCTGCTGCAGCAAAGACTCGAAATTAGGAGATATTAATGCATCAAGGGGGGTTCCGCATTTTCGGTTGCATCGAGAACAAACCAACTTGGAAAACGATGAAGACATCAAAAGCCTTTTGTCGTTGGTAGACATGTTCAAGGGGGCTGACCTTTGGGGAAGCATTCCATGTAGTTCATGGATTCCTTGGCAGAAAATGTGTTTGCATCGATATGGCTCAGCCTACGCAAAGAAGTTGAAAGCCAAGAGAAAAACAAGCAAGAAACTCTTAGCAAACTACATAAAGGTTGCAGAGAGAATTCTCCAAAACGGAGGACACATTGCTTTCGAATGGCCTAAACATTGCGAAGGTTGGATGTTGACTGAACTGTTGCCGTTTATCAAGAAGCATGATTTGTTTGAGACTTGCTGTGATGGCTGCGCCTTTGATTTGAAAGACAGTGAAGGAGAGCCACATCTGAAGACTTGGAGAATAGTAACATCCTCAAGAAAATTGGCAAAAGACCTTGGTTTTTACCGATGCCAACATCCAAAAGACTTCAAGCACAGTCCTTTGGAGGGTTCGAGCACAGGGAGGTCAGCCTTCTACACTGAACAGATGGCGCAAACGATCTCTAACAGCTTGTATCCTGATGATGACTCCGTCCCAATCATGCCAACTTGTCCGTTTGTTCAGTCAGAACATGTCCCGCGTGAAATTCCCTTAGGTGTTCATCAGTTGATTGATCGTCGAGATTGGGGAAAGTATCCGGGGGCTGACCAAGCTATCAAGAAAGAGTTGGATGGTCTTCTAGCAAATGAAGTTTGGGATGTTAGTAAAATCATTTCCAAAGAAGAACTGATGAAGTCGGGTGGCAAATTTAACCTAGGTCGTCTCATGACAATCCTGTCCATGAAGCACGCTGAAAGTCCAGAATTGCGAAAGTTGAAAGCCAGAATTGTGTTCCGAGGTGACCAGATAGTTGACCAAGACAACAACATCGCCATCCTGCAGGAACTCAAAGTGAATCCCTCGGGAATCACAGCCATCAATTTCAACTTGAGCTATGGTGCACTTCCCGGAAATGATAGTTCACAGTCGGACGTGGTGCGTGCATACACTCAAAGTGTCTTGCGAACAGTGGTGGACACATGGGTGCTACTCCCGCCGGAGTTAGTGCCAAAAGAGTTCGCCCACATCAAAATGCCAGTAGCACCTTTGAAGAAGGCGCTGTACGGACACCCGGAATCGGGTTTCCACTGGGATGCAAGATTCCGTGAAGTGATGGGACTCATGGGAGGGAAAGCTGATAGAGACAACCAGTCGAATTGGACCTTTGACAATGGTCTAGTCCTCACATTGTACGTCGACGACATTTTGCTTTCAGGGCCATCAGGTTTGCACAAAGGGTTCTGGGAAAACCTGCAAAAACACCTCGAAATAGAAGAACCGACCCCAGTGGACCGTTGTCTTGGCAGAAAGCATTTGTTCAAACGTGAAAACGGAGTGACTGAGGTTTATTTCGACATGGTAGATTTCATCAACTCAGCATGCCAAATGTATGAAAATCTGTCAGGGATGCCATTGAAGGGCGCCGCATCTCCGTACTTGCCAGAAGGTTCAATTCCGGTGAACGAATGGGAAGAACGCGGAGCCTTAGAAAGTGATGCGAGTAAGGTCTTGATGAAAGTCCTTTGGGCCGGCAGACTTGCCAGGCCAGATACGGTCAAGGCAATCGGTGACCTCACACGTCGTGTGACGAAGTGGAGTCGTGCCGATGACCGCCGCTTGCACAGATTGATGAACTATCTGTACGAGACCAAGGCATTCTGCCTAAAGGGCAAAATCGCAGATCGTCAGGAAGACCTACAACTGGCCTTGTATACCGACGCGGACCACTCAAGCGCGGTAGAGGATGCAAAGAGCACCTCTGGTGGTTTGCTGTGTCTGCAAGGACCGACGTCCTACTGGCCACTGGCGTGGCACAGTAAGAGACAGGGTGCCACTGCACGATCGACCACAGAGGCCGAGATCATATCACTTGCCCACGGTGTATTTGACGCTTTGCCAGTTGCTGAATTCGTTGAGGAAGTGTTCAGAAGAGAAATTGAATTGGTGTGTTTCCAGGATAACAGCGCCGTCATAAGCATATGCGGCCAGGGCTACAGCCCTAAGCTCCGCCATGTTTCGAAGCACCATCGTATCAATCTCTCTTCTCTATACGAAACGTTCTCGAATGGCAGTGCCAAATTGCTTTATATAAAAACGGACCATCAAAAGGCTGATCCCTTCACGAAACCGTTGCCGGTTTCCAAATGGAGTCACGCCTTGGAGCTTTTGGGCGTCGTGGATCCAAATCTCTCGAGGCACCCATCTTCCACTGAACATGTTAATGTGTGAAGGGGGAGGAGAGAGACATGGGGTGAAACCACCACCCCTAATCCACTAGCAAAGCACCCTGGTCGATGCATCTGGCACGCCAGGGGAAGCAGTCCATGAAGCAGTCCTTGAACAAGAGCATCTCTGCAGGCAAGATTCGCATTCGTTGTGTCACCAAGCACTGTAAGAATTTAGTTTCACATGACATGCAAGTCATAGGAATCTTGATGAATGTAGCCTTCATGATCCAGTCATTGACGTTTCACTTCACCGGACATGTTTGGCTCAAGATTGTGGGAAAAAGGGGCGGCTGCTGTGTTCTTTTAACATTAAACAGAAATATCATGGTTGCCACGAAGCCTGGAGGGGGCTGATGCTTCGTTTTGGCCTGCTAATGTGTGTTTGTGTATTTTTCCTGGGTTGCGCGCTTCTTTTTGCTTTTGGGTCCGCGGGCTCACCTTGTTTCTCCTAGTAGTGAGGCCAGGAGCCCATAATAGCATCCTTGTTCCTAGTAGTCCGCCCATACCACTACTTCAACGTTCCAAGCGAGTGCAACGACGCCGACATCTGTGTGAACCCGGCAACAGTTGGGTCATTTTAGAGATGTCTTTTTCGCACCCCGAATGGAGCTGCGCCTGCCCCCCTGGCAAGCTGCAAGAAAAGATGGAAGAATCATTGAGCACTGCCGGGCACGCCACTCGAGAAAAGTAATTGAGATCAATTTAGTATCCCGGATCCATCTTTGTTCCTAGTAGCGTTCTTGTTCCTAGTAGTAAGGCCAGGAGCCCCGTTCGTAGCGTCCTTGCTCCGTTCGTAGCGATGCCCTTTGCTCCTAGTAGCTTCTTGATCAATGTGATATCCCGGATCCATCAAAACAAATACGGTCAGCCGAAAACAGCTTCCTTTTGTGCTGTCAGAGTGGTGCACTGAACACTAGCACTAGCCCCACCCACTAAAGCACTAGTCGGCTTAGTTGAGTGCACTGAGTGCTTTAAAACGACAAACGGAGTCCACCAACGGAGCTGAGTCCAGTTCCACTCCCAAACGGAGCCTTTCTGCTTCGGCATCTGCAAGTTCCTGCTCTCTCTCCGCTGCCTGGCGGCATCTGGCGAGACACAGGTGTGACATGTGACATGGCTGGCCTGCTTACTGGCCTCCACCCTACTAGCGATAGCCTCCATCCTAGTAGCAATGGCATCCAACCTAATAGCGTCCAGCCTGCTTGCTGAAACATCGCATGAAAAAGCCGAAAAGTCTCCTCATCTGATGATTATCTCCAGTGAAGAGCCCAGCCGGCAGATTCGCCTGCTCTTGGAGAAGATGATTCGCCTTTCGAAGCTCTTCCATTTGTGACAACGTGTCCTTTCGAATGCGGCTGTCGAACGGAGCACTGGTATCACGTCTCATACCATACTATCCACATTCGCTCTAGCAGTCCTGCAGCTGCTGCTCGACCTCACAAAGTTCAGAAACAAATGTAGTAGCTAGGACGCTACTAGGTTGGAGGCCATCGCTACTAGTAGGAAGCTGCTAGTTTGAAACAAGAACTTCGAACCGATCTTGGAAGCGACAACAGGCAAGGAAGGGAAACTATGGCAAAAAGTTGCCAAAGCTTAAGCCTTAAAAGCCATTGAAAAACGGTTCAAAACTTGGAAAATCGTTGGAACCTTGTCTTCCTTTTTGAGCAATCTCGCTTCTGGGTTCCAACATGTTGAAACAACACATCGCACCTGATTCCTCTCGGCCAGAGCTTGCTGGTTCTTCTCCTCCTCTGCTTTTTGCATCTCGCGCCAACGCCTCAGTCACGTGAATGTCCATCTCGGTGCGAGGGCTGTCTTTTAGCTCGTGGCCGTGCATCCTTACTATTCCTTACTTAATCAAGTAGCTGCCTACTTAATTCAGTGGGGCTAGTGGCTTAAGTAAGCTACTAGCTGGGGAGCGCTCGCACTATTCATTTGGCTCCTAGATTTTTAGGAGAAAACAACACAAACAAGGGTTTGGGTGTGTTGGGGGTGTGGGAAATCGAGCGGTGGTGAAAATCGTCCGTCACTGCGCGACCAAATCCTGTCTGTTCGATGTCATTGTGCGAGAAAGAAACACTGAAAGGTCGATTAAATAGATTCTATGTTAAAGAAAAGAAAAGAAAGAAAAATGTGAAAAGGTCTAGAGAAACAAAGTGAAATTGAGAATGACATGGGAGGGAGTTTCCTTGAAGAAGAGCGAGCTATCCTGTGTCCAGTAGGTAGCTACAAGTGTTTTACCTTACTTAATGAAGGAGGCAGGGCCATGGGAATTAAAAAAGAAACAAATAAACAGGAAAAGCAATGGCCTCCAACCTAATAGCGTAATTCCAACCTTAAGAAATACAAACAAATCGATAACAAAAAAATATATTGTTTTCTTTGTCTCTTGGATTCTTCCCGTCTTGAGGTCTTCACTCGTGGGCCGCAGTGCTCGCCAGGGCCAAGCCTCGCTGCAACCTGCACCAAGCGGAAAGCAGCACGAGGAAGCACGGTTTAAAAAAATGAATAATTAGTAGGGTGTTTCTAATAGCAAACATTGTTCCTAGTAGCGATGCACTTGTTACTACCAGCTTCTTGTTACTACTAGTAAGGCATTTGTTACTAGAAGCGAACAATTAAAGAACATTCATTTCTTGTTTCTAATGGCTTCTTGTTACTACTAGTAAGGCCCTTGCTCCCAGTAGCGATGCACTTGTTCCTAGTAGCTTATTGTTTATATTGAAAACGTTGTTTCAAAATAGCAAACATCGTTCCTAGTAACGGCCAGGAGCCCCGTTCGTAGCGTCCTTGCTCCTGAATAAGTTTTATGAATAACATAATCAGATATTAATGTTTGATCGTTTATAATAGTTGTTTATTGACAGTTTCTGAGGGGTATACCTTTCGTCGCAAGCGCTTGAGCTTACGACGTTTTCCATGTTCGCGCTCCTATGGTTTCATTATGGTTTCTTGTTTGGGCCGGTCTGTTCCGGTCTGTTTGATGCGTGTTACCTAGGGCGTAGCAACAACATACTAAATCCTGCAAAAACCGTCTTTCGTTGTCGAATTTTTTCATGTTTGTTGTTCCCGTTCCCTAACTTCCTTTATCTTCCTTTGATGCAGACACACACACACACAAACGGCCAAAAGAAAAGCTCCCAGCAAGAGTGGAGCTTTAGATCCACAGTCCTCTTCGAAAACAACCAACCAGGAACCAAGAAAGTTACACCATTTGGTTGGGCCATCACTATTAGGTGGGAGGCCATCGCTATAAGGTTAGACGCCATCGCTCTCAGGTTGGAGGCCATCGCTAGTAGGTTGGAGGCTATTGCTATTAGGTTAGAGGCCATCAGTTTCAGCTTATGTCCTTACAGGCAAGGCTCTCTCAACTCCTACCCATCCCAACTGCTACTGCCAGCTGCAGCACTTCTCGAGTTGTTGGGATGCGTGACAAACAAGCTTTTCAAGGGATGGAATCTCAGATCTGAGCATCTGACAGCTCTCCACTTCTGCGCACAACATCCAGGCGGCAAGCTTTATCCCGTAAGGATTTCCTCAAACCAAACGTCGTGCGTTTTTAAGACATTGACCCTAACAGCCCAGTTCGAGTCGGCTCGATTGAGACGATACTTCGAAGATGAAATTTCAAGTGCCTTCCCCATCTACGCTGACTGGTGACTGGCACCAGATTGGGGGTTGGAAATGCCCACATTCACCTGAGAGGAATGACCTGAGTGACCTGAGTGTTAGCACTTGCTGTGGAAAACTCGACATCTCCAAGTGGCGGAATTGGAGTATCGACCTTCAGCTTGCCATCCGTCCAACCAAACACCTGGCGAAAAGGTTGCAGTGAGATGAGAAGAAACGTGAAGAAAAAGAGAACACACCACCTCCAGGCGCATGCCAGGATGATTCTGCCTCAGAAGTTATGTGGGTTCTTTCGAACGTGGGGGGTGAGGGGGAGGCCATGAAGAGGACTCGCAAAGGCCATGCTCTTCAGATAACCTAATTACTCGGTGGTCCCGCCACACGAAGCCAAGGCTTCTTCCTTGAAGAACTCTCACAATAGCATCCTTGCTCCTAGTAGTACGGCCAGGAGCCTTTGGTAGCTTCTTGTTCCTAGTAGCGATGCCAGGAGCCCCTAGTAGCGTCCTTGCTCCTAGTAGCCAGATCTTTGTCATTCCGATCGATCAAACCTAATCCTTCCATTCTCTTTTCGCGCTTAGCGTGGCTTGGCATCGGGCCATTCCACCGGGTGTACCCGCAAGTGGCGTATGGCGCGCGTTGCTTGTGCCACGCCCAATGACACAAAGCCTTACATCTGCACCAAAGGCGGTTGCTTCGAGTCGAGGCAAAAGGAGCTTTGCAAAAACTAGTCATTGGAGGCCCACGGTTGGAGGCCATCGCTATTGGATTGGAGGCCATCGCTATTAGGTTGGAGGCCATCCCTACTAGGTTGGAGGCCATCGCTAGTAGGTTGGAGGCCATCGCTATTAGGTTGGAGGCCATCCCTACTAGGTTGGAGGCCATCGCTATTAGGTTGGAGGCCATCGCTAGTAGGTTGGAGGCCATCGCTAGTAGGTTGGAGGCCATTGCTGTCAGGTTGGCGGCCATCGCTAGTAGGTTGGAGGCCATTGCTATCAGGTTGGCGGGCATCCCTATTAGGTTGAAGGTCATCGCTAGTAGGAAGAAGGTAAAGGCACGCTTTTGACATGAACAAAAAGCAGGCTTGGCAGTCGCTCTGCTCCGCATCGCCGGTTTCTCAGGCTGCCGCGCATCGCCTCTGCATCACTGCAACCCTCAAAAACGAATGGCTTGCTTTCCTGCACGGCCGAGAATCAGAAGCATGTGTTACTACTAGTAAGGCACTTGTTTCTAATAGCTTCTTGTTACTACTAGTAAGGCACTTGTTACTACTAGCGAGGCACTTGTTCCTAGTAGCTTCTATGTTTGGTTTGGGAACATGTGTCCAACATGGCGTTTTACATCGAAACGTCTTCGAGCTCCGAGGCTGAAGCATTCAGAGCTGTGAAGGGCACCCACTCGGCACCGTTCTCACTCCATGATGCAGTGAATTTGGTCACCTGCAGTGACGCTACCAGTAACAAGCGCCACGCTAGTAGTAACAAGAAGCTACTAGTAACAAGTGCATCGCTTCTAGTAACAAGTGCCTTACTAAGAATTAGAATCAGAATTAAGTTTCAGTGACTTACAGGGATGGCTCACACAGTCTTCCGGCTCATGGGAAACGATGCCAATCACCGGCCATGCACACACAATTCCCGGGGCAAGGGACCCATTGGTCCTCAACATCAAGGAGGCTGCCAACATTCTGCACCTTCTTCCTGCAAATTCTTCGCGTGATGGGATTCTTGGTCTTGGTGGCTAAATGGGTGCAAGTTCCATCGATCAGTCCTAAGTCCCAGGTAGCAAAGGAGCTGCAACAGGCGGTTGCTTTCCTGTCAAAAACCAGGACGACACATGGAGATTCCCTTGACGACACTCCCCGCCACTGTGTTCTTGCCAGCAAGGATGTCTGATGCGCTCACTTTCAAAGGTTGCACCTGGTGAGGGTCAGATAATAGGCACAAAGAAGAACATGTATTAACAATAAGCTACTAGGAACAAGTGCATCGCTACTAGTAACAAGGGCCTTACTAGTAGTAACAAGAAGCTACTATTAAGTGTAATTAGAATCAAATTAAAATTAGTAAAAATCATAAACATGACCATCACAATAGGTTGACGAACGGTTCGTCCTTCTCAGACCATCCAGCTGCTTTGATTGCATGGCCCTTAGTGCGCAGCACACGACGTGGCTCCGGAGGGTTCTGAGTTGTTACTACTAGCAAACATTGTTACTACTAGTAAGGCACCTGTTACTACTAGCGTGGCACTTGTTTCTACTAGCGTCCTTGTTACTACTAGTAAGGCACTTGTTACTAGTAGCGATGCACTTGTTCCTAGTAGCTTCTTTGTTACTACTAGTAAGGCACCTGTTACTACTAGCGTGGCACTTGTTTCTACTAGCGTCCTTGTTACTACTCAGGTTGCCGCGGCTTTGGCCAAGAGGAGTTCGAAAAAATCCACCTTTCGACACCGTTGCGTGTGTTCCTTTTTTTTAGCGTCCGATCGCTCCCCGGACTCGGACCGTTTCATTTTTGACATTCCATTTTGTGTAAAGGAGGCAGTCATCTCCACTTTGGCATCGAGAAAACGTTTTGAGGCGGATGCCCGATTGCTGAATTTGTGCTGACAAATACCTTCTATGGAACATATTGAACATAGTTTCCCCCTTCCCTTGGAGGCCATCGCAAGTAGGTTGGAGGCCACCAATTAGAGGCCATTGCTAGTAGGTTTCCCCTTCGTTCCCCGCCTTTGCTTGTCGGTCTGCATTCTGAAGCTGCTTGTAATCCAGCTGGGCTGCAGTGAAGTCAGGCCTCTTAAGGCACCGCAACCAATCGCAGGAGCAAGGACGCTACTAGTAGCAAACATGGGGTCGTGTTGTTTGTGATGCACAGGTTGAAGCCAAACGTGACAAAAAGGGAAACTTGTGATGTCACTTTCAAACTAGTAGGAGTTGGAACAGTTCATCTTTCTTTCTGTTTGTTTACATGAAAAGTTCAATTTTTCCACAGCTTAGTGCTCAGTGTTGTTGGTTACAATGCCGCGGTGTGGATCCCGCGGAACAAACGTCAAGCGGCTCAGATTGAGTCAGCCTTTCACAGACTGTACCAACGACTGGCTGTCCAACACTTTGGTGCCCCTGCGCTGCCGTGGAGCCGTACTTGGCTGCTCTTCAAGTTAGGCTTACCAGAGGCTGGTATCGTGTTGGTGGTCTCCCGACTGAGGTATTTTGGACAATTGGTCCAATCAGGCCAGCCCACTCTGTGGGCTTTGCTTCAGCGTGATGAACAATGGGTCGTGCAGCTCCAGAATGACCTTACTGTCCTTACCACCTACTGCCCTGAAGCTGGAGGATTCATGCCGCTGAAGGACTGCTGGAATGCAATCACTGCATTCATTGCTGCTAGTCCTGCGAGATGGAAGAGACTCTTGCGTAAGCTACAAGCACGGGCAGTCTCGATGCAGCATATTGATGTGGAGTGGAATCAATGGCACCTTGAGATGTATGAATGCTTGGTCGCGCATGAAATTGTTGGTCCTGAGCCTTGTTCGGTGCCTGTACACACATATTGTTGTTTGTCCTGCACCAAATTTTTCAAGACTAAGGCTAATATGGCAGTGCATGCGTTCAAGAAGCAGGGTAGGGTCAATAAAGCGAGAGCTTTTGTGGTGGGCACGCAATGCGAGTCGTGCCTCAAACACTATGAACTGCACTCGGACCTGATCAACCATGTCAAACGAGGCGGGCCCTGTTATAGCTTCTACCAGCAGCGTGGCATCCGTGTCCAGCCGCAGCCGGCGGTGAACAGCCGGGTTGAACAGAAGGAGAAGTCTCCGTTCAGGCTCCCCTTTATGCAAGCTCAGGGCCCGAAGCACTTAGCCCCTGCTGATGGACCGACGGACCCTGAGAATGAGGTCTTACGCCTCCAACTAGCATGGGGTCAATGTCTGCAAGAGCTGGATACTGAGGAGACTCTGTTGGAAAGACTACGTCAAACAACGTGTACTGCCTATTTGTATTTGGAAGAGATTCTGGCTGCTTTCGAACAATGAGTTGTTCAGCTTGGAGAGAAGACCTTGTTGCAGGAATTGTCAGTGTTTGCGACATTCAAACAAAAAACTAGTGTTGAGTGGTTTCTTGCGAATATGCAGAATTCCTCAGCTGTCCATGAAACTGTACAAGGTTTCTTCCGCAGAGAGGCTGGACGTTTAGATCCTCTTGTTGCTCCTGTTCCGAAGGTTATAAGTTATTCTCCTAAGGTTTTTGCTCATTTCTTCTCGGGTGCTCGCCGAAAAGGTGATTTTCAAGAGCATGTCGAAAGGCTCCAGGCAACTGCAATTTCGGTCGATATCATTTTTGATATTACGTGGGGGAATCTCCTTCAGCCTGCGACCTTTGAGCTGTTCGTGAGGGCGATGAGGGAAAGAATCCTTTGTGGGTTCCTTTCTGGCCCACCGTGCGAGACCTGGTCGAGAGCGCGCGCAACAGATGATTCTGGTCCTCGAGTTTTGAGAAGCAGAAGTCGACTCCAGGGTCTGTGCTCTCTGACGCGACGAGAGTCGGAGCAAGTCTCAATCGGTAACCAGCTGCTCGGAGTGACGCTACGGTTTTTTCTCTATGCACTGATCTTTGGATCAGTGGCAATCTTGGAACACCCAGCATGCCCAGAGGACCGGCCTGACCTGCCCTCTATCTGGTGGTTGGACGTCATCCAATGTCTGTTAAGGTTTGACGGATGCGTCAAGCTGAGAATTTACCAAGGTTTGTACGGGGGACTCTCACCGAAGCCGACTGATTTGCTATTTGCGAAATGTGGCAGCTACGATCAGCTTGTGAGTTTTTTCGTTACTGCTCGAACGACTCCTATGTGCAAGGGTGGCCGCATCGGGAAGGAAACTGATGGAGCTTGGCGCACACCGATACTCAAAGAGTATCCTGATGCTTTGTGCCGAGCCTTCGCTGAACTTTTCAATTCTAGATGCCAGCCTACGGTCCCTGCACAGAGCATACCTCCCTGGTTCGAAGAAGCAATTGCCCTTCTGAAGGCCGATTTCAATGAGGGGGGCTACCATGGGACCGGATTGCTGTAGAGCCACCACGCTCGCTGCACCTAATCCGCCGACCCCGTGGTGCAGCAAGGGCCGAAATGGTATGTTCTGTTGTATCAGTTGTGGCCATAAGGTGGGCTACTGCTTCTTTATCTAGAGATCCCACCGCGAAGTGTTTTGGTGCTCGGTGCACAGGTTTCTGTGCCTGGAACAGTGGAGCTCTGCGCCTGCAACAGTGGAATTGCCTGCCGAGATCCCAGCCCGAAGTGTTTTTGGTGCTCGGTGCACAGGTTTCTATGCCTGGAACAATGGAGCTCCGTGCCTGCAACACTGGAATTCCTGCCAGAACCTTCATTTTTTTTCATTCGGCTCAGGAGTGACGTTTGGCCCGGGCAGAGGGACGGCAGGAGGCCGTTCCGTCACACGCCGTGCCAGGGTGTTTTCCTGATTCGAAGGGTGTCTTCTCTTGCTTTCTGTGCCTTAGAACAGTGGAATTGCCTGCCAGAACCTTGATTTTTTCATTCGGTTCAGGAGTGACGTTTCGCCCGGCAGAGAGATGGCAGGAGGCTGTTCCGTCACGCCGTGAGGGTGTTTTCCTGATTCGAAGGGTGTCTTCTGGCTTGCTTTCTCTGCCTTGGAACAGTAAAATTGCGCCAGAACCCTGATTTTTTCATTCGGTTCAGCCGTGCCAGCTTTTTCCCCTGATTTGTAGGCCTTGTGGCTGGGTTTCCGTGCCTGGAACAGTGGGCTTAGAACCTTGATTTTTCATTCGGTTCAGGAATGACGTTTGGCCTGGGCAGACGGATGGTAGGAGGCTGTTCCATCACGCCATGCCAGGTGTTTCCCTGATTGCCTGGAACTGTGGAATTGCCAGCCAGAACCTTGATTTTTTTCATTCGGGGCAGGAGTGACGTTTGGCCCGGGCAGAGGGATGGCAGGAGGCTGTTCCGTCACGCCGTGCCAGGGTGTTTCCGTGATTCGTAGGATGTCTTGTGGCTTGGTTTCTGTGCTTGGAACAGTGGCCAGAACCTGGATTTTTTCATTCGGTTCAGGAGCGACGTTTAGCCCTGGCAGCGGGACGGCAGGAGGCTGTTCCGTCGCGCCGCGCCAGATTGTTTCCCTGATTTGTAAGATGTCTTGTGGCTTGGTTTCTGTGCCTGGAGGCCCGGATTTGTAGGGTGTTTCTGTGCCTGGAACAGTGGAATTGCCTGCCAGAGGCTTGATTTTTTCATTCGGTTCAGGAGTGTCGTTTGGCCCGGGCAGAGGGATGGCAGGAGGCTGTTCCGTCACGCCGAGCCAGGGTGTTCCCTGATTCGTGCCAGGGTGTTTCCCTGATTCGAAGGGTGTGTTCTGGCTTGCTTTCTGTGCCTCAAACAGTGGAATTGCCTGCCACAACTTATTTTTATTCATTCGGTTGAGGACTGACGCTTGGCCGGGCAGAGGGATGGCAGGAGGCTGTTCCGTCACGCCGTGCCAGTGTCTTTCACTGATTCATAGGGTGTCTTGTGGCTTCTAGTTTCTGCGCCTGGAACAGTGGAATTGCCAGCCAGAACCTTGATTTTTCATTCGGCTCAAGAGTGACGTTTGGCCCGGGCAGAGGGACGGCAGGACTGTTCCGTCACACCGTGCCAGCATTTTTCCCCTGATTTGTAGGTCTTGTGGCTGGGTTTCTGTGCCTGGAACAGTGGGCTTAGAACTTGATTTTTTCATTCGGTTCAGGAATGACGTTTGGCCTGGGCAGGCGGATGGTAGGAGGCTGTTCCATCACGCCATGCCAGGGTGTTTCCCTGATTGCCTGGAACTGTGGAATTGCCTGCCA